GGTCGACACATCTCCGGCCAGAAGGTCTCCCAGGACCTTGAACACTTCTAAGTCATCGCCAGCACTCAAGTCCCCAGCTTCGACTCCCTCGAAACTTCGAAAGCTCGCCGCATCACCTTCACCCTCGCCTCCCAAGAAGATCGCACGATCTGCGTCAATGGTCTCAAGCCGTCCAAGCGGTATGTACTCACTATTCTTGCCAAATTTTGACAGACGACTCATATTACCCCAAAACCCTCAGAGAGCCGCTTTACGAGACCCCCTGGCTCATCCTCGTCCACCCTTCAAAGTGCCCTGGAGCAACTTCGAATGCCTGCTCCTTCTCGACCCAGTACCAGTATGGGATTTAATCCAGACAACAAACGTGATGATGACGACGACGACGATTCCCCTGCGGAGGCTAAAGGGAAAACCCAGGACGATAACGCGATTGGAAATAAGGCGGGAAGCTCTTCGCTCAAGCCTCTGTCACGATCTGCAACGCTTGGAGCGGGTCAATTCTCCAACAAACCAGGGAGCAGTATTGCGGGCCCTTCAAAGCCGTCAGGTGCTCGAACAGGTCCGTTCGGAGCAAATCGACCGGTTCGCGGTCGGCCTTTGTTTGGTGTTGGCGGCGGCGGAGGATTGGGCAGGAGGGTCACGCAGAAAGCGAGCAAGAATCCTGGATTGCCGAGCGTCATAGGCAGCCCGGTGAAAGGCGGTGGAGACGGAGACGTCACAATGGCTCTGGAAGGCGAAGACGGTGCTGATGGCGCAAAGCTCCCAGCGTTGTTCGGCCCAGAGCCCAATGGTTCAGAGATTGAAGTGGTCGGAGCAGGGAAAGGCAAGGAACGCGCCGTCGATGACTATTCTTCAAGGCGTGCTTCGATGGCGTTGAACATGCTTTCACAATCTTTGCTTTCTTCTACTTCTTCAGAGCCATCAGGGGAGAAGACCATCATGGGGCCACCTGCTTTACCCTCGACGATCTGTCGAGTTCCAGGACGCGTAACGAGCGGATCACATGGTTCTCCATCCACTGCCACTGATCCAGGGTCTGCGACTGAAGGAACACCTCCTGGACGACGAAGTACCCGGATGGCTTCTGTCGCCGCATCCCAGGCAATTGCAAGTGTTGCAGCCGGGTCAAGGAGAGCTCCTGCGGAAGAAAAGGTCGTGGTCGATGATTCCTTCAAATTCTTCAAAGATTGCACTGTGTTTGTCGATGTGAGGACAGAAGATGGTGAAGAAGCCGGTTCACTCTTCGTGGAGATGTTGGGAAATATCGGTGCTCGTGTATGTGTATCAATTATCCTCTTTCGGCAGCTTAGCTCACCCGTATCCTCTTGGACAGCTTTTGACTAGAGTTGGTCAAAGCTGCACGCATATTGTTTACAAGAACGGTCTGCAGAGTACCATCAACCGCTACAGGTTAGCAATACCCCTCGCTCACTTTGAATCCCGGCTGATCTTGTTTCAGATTGCTTAGAGATCCTAAGCCGATGGTAGTGGGGATTAGTTGGGTTGTAGATTCCGTTGAAGAGCGGAAGAGGCTCGACGAAACGAAATACTTGATTGATCTGGAGGAAGTCAGCCTTTTCTCCAACCCAGCCAAGGTGTGTTGCACACTATGATCATCAGCTTTGTTATCGTTTCCCTGACGATATGCCGATTTTTAGCGACGCCGGTCATTACTTCCAAAGCTTATCTCTCGTGAACTCTCAGATTTCGCAGGTTCCGAATCTAATAACGATGAGAGTAATGAAGGCGATGTCTCTATGGATGGCTCTACATCTTGTACGTTCTTATTCCGTTAGACTACGTGGGGCATAAGGGCTAATGGTGTTGCAATCTAGCTACCCCACAGGATGATCTAACACCGCTGGAACGTGCCAGAAGGAGGAAAAGCATGCTCCCAACACCTCAGATATAAATCTATGTCTCTTGCCAAAATCTCCAGCCCATTGTCATGAACTTTACGACCATTAATAGCATCCCATACCCGATCTGCACATTTTATCTTTTAAATTAGCATACCCGACGGCTAATTCTGTTCTCGTCTACTCGCTGTGCAATAAGTTATCAATTTATGTCTGACAAACGGTCTGAATCGGCCGGGTATAGCTATGCGTAGTCCATTTGTTGTTGTTTCTGTACCCAGATTTCGGAGAGGATAACGATATCCCTTACGCTTCCCGAAGGTACTGATCAAGTGACTGATTCCCAGTCGAGGCGCTACAGGGCACTATATTGTACACACATTTAGATTTGCATACAAGGGATTATATCTTATCTTGTATCTAGATCAAGGAGTGCGAAGAACCCTTGTTGTCCCTTTTGAGCTTTCTGAGGTGGCTTTGCTGAGGATACTGCCTCACTCTTCTGTTTTGCCTTTTTGAACCTTTTTGGCTTTGGTTCTTGAAAAGACGCCTGGAGATCTGTTTTAACGGCAGACCACAGGAAATCGTCTTCGGGAGGGCCCAGAGTAGAAGGTGCATTCAACAATGCGTGGAACAGCCTTCCGGATAGAAGGTGTGCTGTGGATGGAACGCGATGACCTATTAAAAGGATTTCCGCAAGCTGGTCTATGTTATCCAGCGCAACGAGCATTTGAGCCATAAGCTGAATATTGCGGTCGGTTATAGTCGTTGTGCCATCGCTCTGAACTTGTTCTTCCTGTGTTTGCCCGAAAGAGGCAAGCCAACAACGCGCCTCGGTGGTAGCCCACCGCTCCTGGTCACGCTCCCTGCTACCCGTTTCTTCTGCTCGCTTTGAGAGAACCGTGGCTGTCCAGCGAAGGGCGAGCACAGGAGCCAGTTGCTCCGGTCGTAATGCTCGAACAGATTGAGTGTCGGAATTCAGCAACCTGAGGAGTACCGTAAACCGATCTTCTTCTGGCCGCAGTAAGAGCAGAGATGCCGAGAATCCCTCGAGACCGACTGATTCGAGTAAGTTTCGAAGAGGAGTAACAGTGATTTCCTCAGATGCAACCCGAGCCCCCCGACGAATGTATTCGGTAATTGTCGGGGGATACTTCCTTTCAAGACGTTGGGATGAGGTGATAGATGGAGGTGGATCTGTTGTTGCCTGGCTAGTTTCATCTTCGGACCCATGGAGACGGTTCAACTCCCCCTTCAATGGCGCCAGAAGGTCTGCGTCTTCATCCTCCGAATCATCCTCTACAACATCAATGAGTTCGTCGTCGTCTGATTCTGATTCCTCGTGCTCAGATTGAGAGGAAGAGGATTCAGGGACGAGTGGATCTGGAAGTCCTGCAGCGTCGTCTAGTATGGAGTAGATCCATTCCCTGATAGGTCTTCCGATGCTGCGGTTGACTGTCTCGACGTCTGGGTGCTCCAGGAATGGCCTGGGCCACGAGGAAGAGGTATTGAGAGGGTCCATGATTTTCGGAGAAAGCGAACCTTGGCGGTACGCGTGTATGAGAGCTTCCCTGACTTGGAGCAACTCTTGATCTTCTTCGTCCATGGCTTGTAGTTGTGTAAGAAGCCTTCTGGAGACCATGGGTAAGAAGGAACATGTGTCGGGGGTGTGAAGGGCACAGAGCTCAGTGGGCCAAAGGGGAGAGTCGTTGGGATCTGCCTTGGGGATTGCGTACTGTAGAGTGGCCTCGACGACGCCGTCGATGATTTTTTCGACTTCACCTGTGCCCAAGTTCGAGCTGTGCCTCACCAGCAGGGCGTTTACGGTCCTGTCGATGAGGTCCATTACGCTCCCGACCTCATGCTTGGGTTTCCTACGTACCGCATTTGGCGCCAATATTGATCGAATGACCTTGGCTGCGTGCCCGATGCGCTGAGTTATAGAGAGGTTGCGCTCAAAGAACAAGGATTGTAGTCGACGTCTGTGTGTTTCTGACTCTGCCGAGAAGTCGTTGCCGACCAGTGCCCCAAGGAGAGGCAACAAAGTCACAGGTAAATTCAAGTGACTGGCTAACCTCGAGGGACTGTACGCGGTAACGTGGAGTTCAAGCTCTTCCGCATCCGGGGGAAGGAGACTTGATTCTACCGGAGCCTTTCGGTTGTGCTTGACCTTGCGGACGACCTGGAATTCGCCGTCGTTCTCCTCAATGGGTACAGCTTCGTCATTAGGCGTTTTCCAGACCATTTCGTCCACTGGTATATATCCTTGGTAGCCTTCCGAGTTGAATACGAGAAAGTCTGAGTCATACCCAACGACATAACCGCCTATCCTGCCAGCAAGTTCGACGGCATACGGGTCCCCTTCTTCGTCGGCAAAATGGAGTTCTAGTAAGTCCGTGGTGGCCTGCAACTGCTTCAATGCGTGGATACAAACGGTGTACGACAATGGGGGAAGCATCCATGTCTCTCTCAAAGAGCTGGGAGAAGTTCTGGAGGCTGCTGATGTCCTGAAGAAGAGCAGGGAGTGCTGTACATGGCTTTCACTGAGCCGGGTGACCAGAGTTGGAAACTTGAGGTCCGGATAAGCGCCTGTCAATTGAAAGGTTTATGATCGAAAAAAGCCCAAGTATCTTGACGAACTACGCACCATCGAAAACGAAATGGACTTTCAAACCGACCCGTAACCAAGCCGCAACAACATTTTTCACAGCATTTTCGAATTCCGGATACTCTCCACCATAAATCCACGGAATAGAGGCCAACACTGGGGTGCGGTACAGAGCGTAAATGAACCTGTAACTAACTTGATACAGGCGCAAAGGGTGCTAGAAATTCGTAGACTCACGACCACCCGTCAACAACAATGGGGATTTGGTTTTTGGCAAGTTGAGACTGGAGGGTTATCGTTGTTGACAATTGCCGCCTATTTTCGCGCAAGTACGTGGTAAGGCCATGAACACCCATTCCGCCATGGACTAAAGATAATGCGAAGATGGTTGTCAAGTTTGAACTTGGAACTTTGAAGTGAAAGTGAAGTCACTAATTAACCCTCGTGACTCGGAGTGGTAATCTTCAGGACAGCCTCAAGCGCTAGTGACTGACCGGGTAGTCTGGGAGGGCGTAGGTGAACCCAATCTCATGGGCAACATGGCCGAGTGGTCTAAGGCGCTGGAATTAGGATCCAGTCTTCACGGGCGAGGGTTCGAATCCCTCTGTTGTCATAACTTTTTGACTATTTTACCTCACCTTGGCCGCGACTTCTGGGTCTAGCCCTCAGTATCATGTCTGTCACGAACAAACGACAAGTTTTATGCTTTCCACCTAATCAAAAGGTCCTAGTGATACAATTATAATCAACACAGAATTCGTTTCCTATTACTTTCATTCCCAGTCGCTGTCTTCGTCCGCTTCTTCCGATTTCGGTGGCTTCTTGTCTCCAGCGACACTTGCGTTGTTCGACGAAACCACGTCGAAGCTATCCTCGCTACTAACGCGTGGGCTTGTATCATTGGAGTCAGATGCCTTCAGGGCATCCTTTGGAGACAGTGTCTGCACATTAAGAATTAAAATGGGTACGTGAAAAAAACAATGCAAACTTGTACCTGGGTTGATTTCGAGGCTTCGGCTACTTGAGCTGGTTTAGCGCTAGGTTCAGAGTCGGTAGAGTCGCTGCCACTCTCGCTATCGCTATCAGTATCACTGCCCTCCTCCTCTTCGTCGTCTTCCCAGCTGAAGTCTTCGTCGCTCTCTGCCGTCGCTACAACATGGTATCAGTATTGGAATATAGGAAACCATGAGCTCTCCCTACATTGGATTAATGCTTTCCTTCGCTCTTCCTCCAGCTTGATTTGATGGGCCCGGAAGAAGTATCTTGACCAGAAGACTTCCTTGGTTAGTCCAGAGGGGACTGCAGAAGAGAAAGTTAGACATCGAGCTTGAAAAGCGATTGCATGAAGCATACCAAGTGAAGCATACATCTCGTAAAGAGCAGTGTTGTCTTTGAGCAACTCTTCGCTCTTGCCCGACCACTCAGATCCATCAATTCCATCCTTGGCGTCTACCTCGTCTGCCAACCATTTCTTGTATTGGTCCTTGGTACCCTCCTCAGCCTCCGGGTCACGCGATACAATAGACGGATCCGACTGCAAACGGGAAAGCAGAGCCAAAGCACGCGAAGCAACAGCTGTCTGCGTTTCTCCCGGTTGCTTCGAAGGTCCTGCAGCATTCGAGTCCGCATCAGCAGACGTATTATTAGTCGGTAACATCCACATGTCGGTGCCATCCCAAACAAGCCCAGTTTCCCCCTGCCCCTCCCGTTCTTGTTCCTCCGGGGGTATAATCTTGACGGCATCTTTAAGAGCCTCGCTCGCCTCCTTCATAGCCTCGCGCAACAGCGCCTCACTCTTGTGTGCATACTCCTCGGCCTGAGCCCGAGTTATGCCCTGCACGCGTTGGAACTCTGATACGAGGTTGGATTGTATTTGAGCAAAGTCGATGTTCTCTGAGGCGTGCTTTATCGATTCCGGGATGTGGCTTTGGACGGTCGCGATGAGGTTGGGAGGGATGGCAGATTGTAGACGAGAGAATAGGGATGCGGGTGCTGAAGTTGACGAGGAGGCAACTGGTGCGTCTGGGTCTAATGTCTTGTTGGCTGGAACAGAATCAAGCGCAGATTCCGTAGGCTCCTCCTTCGACTCGGAGGTGCCCGCATCAGGATCTGCAGAAGTCGCTACACTCCTGGCGGAAGGACCAGCCTCAGTCGTTTCAGGAACTCCAGTGTACCGTCCCAGTTCCTTTTGAGCCTGAACGACAACATCTCCCAAGTCCTTCTTTGCAATTTCGAGTACTTGTTGGCTCTGTTGAGAGGTTAGCCACAAATAGCTCCAGATTACGGAGGCAAGCCTTGCGAACCTGCTTCCTGAACCCTCCCCAGAACCGGCCCAACTGACCAATGACCTCAGTCATTTCCTCATTGAGAGAGGGTTGGCCTTCGGCGGGGGGTTGTGGTGTAGGACCCCTTGTGATATCGTAGGTATCGAAGAAATTCATGTCGAGCGACACGGTTCAAGTCAAACGAACCGGACACAATGGCGACGACCGATATTGATAATGATGCAAGCGTTCGCACGCTATCCTTGGCATTCCTAAATACTGTACAAGCTAATACAATTGCAATCTGAGACGGCAAACATTTGGATACGAGACTAGATATCGAGCATCAAATTAAATTCCAGAGTCCAAAAGGACGACTTAAGCAGTCGCTGCTACTTGCGGAGCAACCGTTTCAAGAGGGACCTTGATGGCAGGCTCCACCACCTTGTGTGAAAACGAGGAAGCGGCTCTGTGCTCCTTGCAAGTGTTGACGAAATCGGTGAACATCTTTAAAACCAAACAGTTAGAATGAGCTTGGAGAATCAATGATGTCAAAGGCTCACCTCGATGGTATCGAGTGGTCCGCCCGCACTCTCGGGGTGGAATTGCACGCCCCATACTTTCTTGCCAGAGTCGTCAGTCGACTTGATTCCCTCGACCGAAGAGTCATTGCAGTTGATGAAGAACGGCTCCCAGCCTTCAGGGAAGGGCTCTTGCAAAGTGAGAGCATATTGATGGTTTTGACTACGAATCTCGTCAACACAACAATGCTTGATCACGTTGGGGAGAGAATACGTACCTAGTGACGTATACCCGACCTGCCTTGATGGAACCAGAATTAGCCAGCGCAAGGACGGGCTGGTTGTGGCCACGGTTTCCGAAAGTCATTCGATAGGCATCCAATCCGGCAGCCATACCGATGATCTGGTGACCCATGCAAATACCAAAGACGGGCCTGTCCCATTCCTTAAGTGTGCGGCGCAAATTAAGGGCAGCAGGCATGCAGTGCTTGGGGTCACCGGGGCCATTGGAAAGGAAAAGTCCGTCGAATTGGTCCTTGACAGCGTTGAAGTCGTAGTCCCAAGGGAAGACCGTTACGGCGGCATCACGGCGAACGAGCGATCGGAGAATATTCGCCTTAGCACCAAAGTCCAACATAGCAATCTTCACACTGCCTGTGGGATTGAGCTCGTAAACAGTCTTCGTGGAAATCTGGTCGACGAGGTTATCCAGGGAAGGATCCCAGTATTCTTCGGCTTGGGGTGGAGAGAGGAGAGCGTCAGAGCCAATAGCAAGTTGGCCGAGAGTTGTGCCCTGGTCGCGGAGCAACGTAGTGATAGCTCGGGTATCAACGCCCGTGATTCCTGGCACGTTGTGTCGCTTGCACCATGATGCAAGGGACTCGACAGCTGCGTAATGCGAGAATTTCTCGGCGACATCGCCAACGACCACGGCGGCGCATTGGATGCCTTGAGATTCCAGTATCACACCAACGTCATGGGAATCAAAGGGCGCCTGGTTGTGGGGCACTCCATAGTTTCCAATCATAGGTGAGGTGAAAACCAGAATTTGACCACGGTACGATGGGTCTGTCATAGATTCGGTATCTAGCATTGGCCAAGTTAGAGAGAAGGCGATGAGCGACGAGTGTAGTCCACTAACAAGAGGTAATAGACGTTGAGAAGACAGTCTCTCCAAAAACACTCTTGGGGGCGCCGAACGAGGTCCCCTTGAAGGTTTGACCAGTCTTCAGGTTCAGCGAGGCTGGGACGGCCAACCTGGGGCTTGCATGGGTTGCCAAACCTCGAGAAAGGTAGAGGGTACGGATAGAACGAAGAGCTCGAGGAGCAAACATGGCCATGACTGGTGGATATTTAGTGGTTCAAGAGGGAGAATACTAGGTCACTGAGGTAGCTGGAGATCGATCAGCGCGACATTAAAAAAGGCAAAAAAGAGATGTTCTTACTCGTCACTAGTGTTTTGAGTAAAGGGCATGTACAACAGTGTACAACAGTCCAGCCGAGAGGCTTACAGTGGGCGGGAAAAACAAGCTGGTGGCAGAAAGATGACAAGAAAATTTAGGCGCATGAGGCCAATACTTACATCCCCCATTTATTACCTAAGCTCCCATCAATCATCCTCGTCCCCCCTTCGGAAGGTCCAACCGAAATATGTGCAATTATAGGTTCTATGTGCAGTACGAAACTAGTATAATCATGTGCTTCACCAGGTAATGTAAAGATAGCGAGAGTCCTTCCAAAAAGCCCTTCACACCGCACCAGCCATCCGGGACTTGGGAATATGCGAATTTTTCTTCTTGTTCGCATCGGAGTCCGAGTCTGAGTCTGAGTCCGAACCATCCGAGTCATCACCACGCCTACGGAACAGATCCTGTTCTGTGGTCTTTTGTTTCGTTGGGGATATTGGCCGTATATTAAGGCTTGCCCTGAAGGATCCCCTTTGCAAGGCAATGTCAGTCAATCGGCGGAACTTTTGCGATGCACGTTGAGATTTCTTCGGACTTGCAGACGGTCGTGGTCCCTTCTTTGTGACAATAGCCGCTTCCACTTCGTTCTCCTCGTCAGATTCGTTGTCAGATTCGTGGACTGCTTTCATGCCTTGGGTCCATTGCGAGTATGGGAACGAGTCTTGTTGAGTCTCACTGGGAATGAAGAGCGGTTTTTGCGAGCTGGATGGTCCAGCCTGAGAAGAGAATTGACGCGATTCGTCAAGCTCCGAGTGCAACTCATCGAGCATCAGGGTTTCCCCTTCGTCTTCGTGAACTGAGGACGTCTCGGGAATAACAGTCCAGGTATCGAGAGAAATGCCTCCTGCACCATTCTCCGCGCCATCCTCCCCCTCCTCATCTTGCGACGTCTCAGGGCTCCCTTCTTTTCGGCGACTAGTAGGTCGCGCTGCCCTGACGAACCTAGCCTCTGCCAAGGGTCGGCTAGGGGTCTTTCCGCGAGTACGGGTACGGGTCGCTGGAGGGCTGGGAGGTGCCTCAGACCTCGCCAAACGGGATGAAGCCCTTGTCGCGGGTCTCGCTGGGGCGGAGCCTTGAGAAGCCTTGTTCTTCACGCTCTCAAGCAACCTCATAGCCTTTTCTGTACTCGTTGGTGGCTGAGGTGTCTTTCCAGAGCGCGTCTTCATTCGTTCGACAAGTGTACGTGGCGTTGATTGAACGACTGGGTCGAGATCACCATCCCCGATTGGACTTGCTAAACGATTGACAGGAGTGTCGAACTGTTCAATGGAATCCTTTCGCGGGCGACCTTTGGGTTTCACCGGAGTCTGGGGTGCATCAACGGCTTTCGTAGGTTCAGGACTTGTCTCTTTCGACCCGTCT